CTGGGTGGCATCACGGACCGTGATCGCGAGTCGGATGGAGAATACTAGGACTCCGTAGCGTCCTCAAGTGGAGGCGCGCAACCTCGTAAGTCCTCGTGTTCGATGTTTCCATCGGCATCGGGAGTCTGTCTCGGTCAAAAGGTAGTCAAAAGGCAGCAATGAGCAAACTCCCCCTCTGACATTTTTAACTGTATATCGAATAGGCCAGCGAGTCTGTCCGTTCCGATCAGACTGTTTATCCCTCTGGGCCCCTTTCGACGGATGGCTCTTCCAATGCCGCCGTTGGCTAACCATCCAAGCTCGCAGCCAACTCTATCCATGTACTCTTCGGACGCGTGCTTTCATCGACATTTTCACAAGCATGGTGAACGCCCGAAAGGCAAGACGGAGAGAAGGACCAAGAAAGCAAGTACGGCCCGATCATCTAACCAGCGGAGAGGAGCCTCTGGCACTACTTGCTTTCAACTACTTACTAAAAATTCGACTCCGACCAAGAGCAGCAATGAGCGGAGATCCCGACGTATCGCAGAGGAATTCTCGGACGGAACGCCTGGAGTCGCTGGAATTCTCTAGTTCTCTAATTCATCAGTCGTCGAGCATCGTTTCGCCTCGGTGCGGATATGTCAAAGTTTCTAAATGCCGCCTCTTGAGCTACGGTCATTTCTCATTTCTTCCTTCATGGATATCCCGACTCCGCTCCATACCTCGAGCGGACGGCTAATGAAAACTTACAACTACGTACCGCCGAAGTATTTGGCGCACGCGTAACATCGGTTTATCATCCGTGGTTCCTGATCGTATATCACGTTCGGTTGCCGCTGAGGTTTCGAATTTCCGATAACTTCTGTTCCCGGCGATACGACACGACACAGAGAGACGCCACGCAGTCTTCTCCGAGATGCCGAGCCCGCCCTAGCCTCCCAGTGGCCTTCCGCCTCTTCATTTTGCTTCCCCTTCTCGGATATCATCCGCGAGTAGAAACGCTTCCACGCTCGCTCGGATCCGTCGGGGTGAACTCCGATGATGAAAAAGTGCCATTATCTACAAACTCACTATCATTGATGGATAAAGGTCATTGAGGATCGTCCAGACACTTCCGGATCGCGTCCCGGACTTGCGGGGCACTGGTCATGCACCAGGCTCGGATTTGGTCAGATTTTCCGGGCTCAATTCAATATCAGAACTCCGTACTCCACGAATGAGATACGGTGAGTCTAATAAGACTCCTTTCGACCAGTCAAGTGAAATACATCGATGACGCGAACAATCAATCGATCGATCGATCGAACCCTGTGATTAGAGGGTCCCGATTCTCGAGTTCGCGGGTTGGAAGCGTCGAGTCAGGTCTACGGTCTTGGTGCATGTCTTCGGGACGATCTCTTCTTCCGATACAGGATCTGGGACATAATCTCCAAACAGGAGGAAGGGTCACGGTCCTTTCGGCTCCAAGCTCTTTTTTTCAGTGTTATAATGAATTCGGATGAGCTCACAAAACGTCCTGTGAATTCACTGTGCCGACAGTCCTCTCCGAGAAGAAGGGTCCCCGTCAAATCATTAGGCCTCGACTCGAGCAAGAGATGTCAATGCGAAAGCGTCGGATATGGGAAGAAGAAAGTTTTCGCGAAGTCGTTTGGAAGGGAGCGTAAATTCGGTCGATCGATCGCTCGCGGAGAAGCATCCGGATTCCGCCCTCGGTGGCCGGGCACTCCATGCAATTTCCTCGTCGCGAGTTTTGAGAGCGCGTCACTGAGAATTTCTCGAGGGGGGCTATCGCGGGGACCTGAATGTATTCTGATACCGGTTCCGGTGCTCTTTTCCGGTTCACCGTATCGTAACTTTGTCTCATTCTTGTTCTCGCTAACAACGGCGCTACTGTTGTTATTAGCGAGCCGCCGCGCCATGGTCGTCATGTAGATATTGGTTTGCCGGGTGTGTGCTGTCATCTCGTTTCAGAGCGACAACGAGCCGAGACAAATGCCTCTGTTTCATCTTGTGGGTGTCCATCTGTGCGAGTGCGGAGTGTCTCTTGTTCCCCCGATACATTCGCTCGCTCAAGGTGCTCCCTCTCTCACTCACTCACTCCGTTAGCGCCTCCCACGAGCATATTTTCCCAAAGGCGTCACGAGCTCGATCAGGAATGTTGACGGGGGTTTTGAATCGGATTAGTGGTGACGTCTCGGGCGGCTAGTATCGACTCGTCAGTCGTCGCCATGCTCGCCACTCGCACCCCAATCGCTCCTTCGGGACATCTTCCCCAAGAAACATTCTAATTCTGAATATCATGTATACTGAAAGATTCATGAATGGGCCAACGAGAAAAAAATTCAGAAATCATTTCCTCGTGATCGCCGGTCACAATTGGGCTGAAGACTGTTCGTCTCGCCGCCTCCATACTGGAAGGGTAAGATAGAGCTCTGCGCGAATTTAGAGTTCTGTGAACCGCTCCAACCAGATTGACAACAACAACAACGACACGGAGAAAATACCTCATCGCTTCGGTCAATGGCCCGTCACGTGACTAGATGAACAACCAAGCAAGCGCGGGAGCAAGAGAACTGCGTCGTAGCTGCATGTCGTTCGTCTTCCCCTTTCAGTCGTAGAGGACCAGGTAGTGGTACCGTCGGGAGCAATGCACACCCAAGAGCTCAAATCAGAGCAACAAGTCTCCCTGGCGTACATGGATCGATTCTGAAAAGCAATTCGGCCGTGTTTCCACGATGGATGTCATGAACTCTTAGAGCCTTGGATAATTTTCGGTGACGGCGCCGCGGCGGCAGCAGTAGCGGGGAAGCAACCGTTGCCCCGATAGATGTACCTGCTTAAGTTGTCATGCTCAGGCAGCGACAATGCACCGTGTAAGGGCAGCGACTCCATCCGCACTT